ATTAGTTTTTGAGTTATCGTGCCTTAAATAAAACCTCTCGTTATACATGCTATATATAATCCCAACCATCATACAGTGATGGCTGATCCACATCCACGACTCCGTCAGTACTTTAGGTGCTATCGTGAAACCATAAAATACGTCATTCCATCGGACGTCAGCAGATTGTCGATAGCGAACGCGATGAAATCTGTTCATCAACAGGCGTTCTCCGAAGCCATATAAATGACTACAGATACAACAAAGTACTACTCGAACGCCCTCCTGCAATTTTAGATAGTGAGAGGTTTCTTCCTAGATTCTGGCGCAACTATGATCTGGGTAGAACAATGTTCTCGATTCGTCTCGAGAGAGCATTACACTCGAAATTGTAAATGGGTGACCCATATGCCAGCAAAGCCCTCACGACTCACACCATCTATTCCATTGTCCGTCCGAGCTTACAAGTCTATTGCCTATATATCTATAGACTTATGGCAAAACCCAATAGAGGTGAAACAATTTCTCCGACTACCCTCTTCAAATCCTAATTATAACAACAACCAATTTCTGATTTCTATAAAATTTCCAAAAATTATATTTTTGCATGTATTTTTGACATTACATCCCAATGTTCAGAACACAGCTCATTAATAACATTCATTGCTACGTTTATATGTGTGGTCGGTCATATCTGTAGTTTGCTTTTATTTTCATCTCGCTACTGACAATTTATTTGTATATATAAGTGGAGTCCTTTTTGTCATAATGTCCATGTATGTATGTATGTAGGGTAGTAGCATTAAAATCATACATGGATTTTGTTTCTGACATATGTATTTCCGCAAAAGTCATAAATGTGGTCAAAAGACACACTGAACGGTGGTAGAGAACCGTACCGGACCGGAAGTGACAAATACTCTCTGACATTATGAACTACTAATAATAAAACGGCAGCAGCAGATCATAGTTCACATTCTGACCTTTTTTGCCAAGGGTCAATGGTCAAAATTAAAAAAAATAAATAAATTTAAAAGAAAATGATTTAAAATGCAAATTAAATCAAAAAGTGAAACGTTAAATCGACACAACTTCAATTAAAAATAGATGGAATATAGAAAACAGTTCGATAGTTCTATGATCATCTGTGGAGTTGAAATCACTTCAATTTCGCCTCTTATTTAAAGTGTTCCGTAATCTCAAAATCACAACTTTAATTTCCTTAAAGATAAACGCGGCATTAACACTACTCAAAAAGATATCCCATTGCCATATTGACATTGAATGAAAACCAAATCCACTAACCGAAAGCAACATACACAAATAACAACAAAGCATATGGGCAACAAAAGCTATTCACCCACATTTGTTGTTGTCTTCTCTCAGACAATCTAATATTTACCCACATCGACTAACAAACAAAATATTATTATAGCAACAATAAAAAAATCCTACACACTCCAACCTTTTTCTATTTTTTTTTTTTTGCGATAGCAAAAAGTATCCCTTTTTTATTGCACAAGGATATTGGGTAAAGAGCTTAAAGGGTTACAAAAGAACTTTGCCAATTCGTTCATATCTTGATTTTTTCCCCGCAATTTTTCTGTTTGTTTTACCCCATTTGACTGTCAATGTCAGAGCGGAGGAGACTCGTATAAGGATAAATAAATATCTGAAACAGACAGAAGGGAGAGGAAGGGATCCATAAACAAAAGATAACCATTTAAAATATTTACTTAAAGTATCAGCAACAGCAGCAGTTCTTGTTATTCCCCTAATATTTGTTCATTTGTATTTAAAAGCTAGAAGATTTTGTGGGTCAAACCCCATCATTATCACATACAAAAGTAGTGAAGAGTTCAAGTGGTATTAGGAACTATTTGATTTAAACATGGGGGACACTATTGTGACTTTAAAATGGTTTTGTTAGATAACGATTTAAATTTCAACCTTCAAACTTCTTCTTGTTTTATACTTTTTGAATCTTTAAACAATTAAAGAGCGCATTCATATGCTTACGTTGAATAACCTTTATATAGAACATGTAAAAACGCCGTTAAGTCCTGCCGGGCTAAATTTTTAATACCTTCCACCATGATGTAGACAATTTAACACTAGATTGCCGACGGCGATCATTTTGGCCGCTTTTCAATTTCAAGTACAAAAACAACTGTGCATATAATGGCACTTTTTTAAATCTGGTGACTTTTTGTACCGCATAGAAATGCGTTTATTATAAAAAAGTCGCAAAATTTAAAAAAAAAATGTGTCATTATATGCACAGTTGTTTGTGTTCTTGAAATTGAAAAACGATAAAAACGATTGAAAAACTGACATATTTTCACTGACATATTTTCCGAATATTGCCAGATTCCCTCCACCGTATGTTGTGTTGCAATGTTCGGCTTATAATTGTGGCCCATAGATCGACTCTACGAAACACAAAAACAAATTAGTTTTCGGTTCACTTTATCCCAAAATGATTATTTGATCATCACCGAAAATTATAGATTTGCCCTTAACCATAACGGCGCTATATTTCCGCCCTCCAGTATGGTAATGGGTTCCTACATACTATCTGAATACATAAGCACCTGCAAATATTTAAGTGTAACTCCCACATGCGACAATATAATTGGTATTAATTTAAAGGTCAACCACTCCTCTTGGATACACTATCAACATCTCGGGTCTATGTCTAGAATACAAATTTTGTAATTTTTCACACAAAAGTCAGGGTCTATTTGACCCGCTAAATATTGGCCAATCTTTGGCCCGATCCCCTTCTCCATTTTTTCGATGTTCGGGCCATAATTGCGGTCTCAGGAGCGACCAGGGGATGGCCCATTTAATCTCCCAAATATTAACCGATCTTTACCAAAAACAATAGGGATCTTCATTGGCCAGAATCCATCCTACATGCAAAATTTCATGAAAAGTGTTCCATAACTGTGGACTGTATCGTGTTTACAAATTATAATGGACAGACGGACAAACACACATGTCTAGATCGACTCAGCTAGTCGAGATATGATGATCGGTATTCTTAAAGGTGGGTCTAGGACCATTATTTCGCTGCGTTACAAACTCTTGGGGCTGGACAAATCTATAATACCCTGACAAAATAGTTGTGTAGGATATAATCATTCGGGACCTTCAACCTTAGGATGGTAAATTTTGGTAGGAAGATTTTACAAATTGTTAGCCAAATTAGAGTCAATTCGGTTAGAAAAGTACAAAACATGTCGAATGTTCCCCATTATTCGACATTATTAAATTCCAGGGCACATCTGAGGCTCCGGGAAATGGATGCCTGGAAGTCCCTGAATGTTGGGGGGGGGGGACTTCTTGGAGAGAAGTAGTCACATCAGTGATTATACTTCCTTTTACTGCAGGTAACTAGCAATCTATAACTCATTTGCAGCGTTTTCAAGCAGAAATCCTCAAGTCAAAACACTTACTGCCGATAACATAGGACCGGTTACTATATATGTCGATAATCCGACGGCCCTTAAGCCATGCACTATTATTAGCTCAAAAGCGGTTCGTGATTAACAGTAATTTTGTGGCTAAAATTATATGCCCAAAAATCACAAAATAAATATGGGGCCGATAAAAATTATTTCGATGAGAACTTAAATATCCATCTGGCCTGAGATGTCACCTCATTACAGTCACCAAGAAAAGCCCAATGAATCAAAACAGTTCACTGCCGTGTTGTTATACAATTGGGATATCACATAGTGGATTTTTTTCTTTTTCCTTTTTCTATCTACTCCTTTCATTTACTCTGAAAGGACACAATGGGCCAAGGCTCGCTAAGAGAAAGCAGCTGCTGAGCGGCAAGGCTGAACATCATTTAACCTATTGTAAAATTCACCTCCAGGAACCAAGTGGTCAACCTTGACCCTGGGATTTATTAGTAAACTTGTCTGCGATAGCCTTTGAGTAATTAAGACCCACAATTCCACATCTGTGTGAAAATGTGGGCATGTTTAGGACAAAAAATATTTCGAGAAAATATACATTTTTACCAGCAGAACATGTTCATGATCTATGGCCCAGACTTAATTTTGCCTTAAGCCGCAATTAAGAGGTTATCCGGAAGCTGGCAATATATATTTGAACAACTATAAAATACTGATTAAGCGATCTTATTGATCATAGTCAGTTTTGTTAAGGAATTTGCTTCCATGGTTCAAAAAAATGTAGAAATAAAAGTTAAATATAGTGTTATTTAAGAATAACTTGAAAATTATAAAAATTTTATAAATTTTTGCAAACATACCAGAGTCATATTCATTGTTCCTCGATTTTCCATATTCACACATATATTTTACAACGATTTAAACACGCACTAACTGTTTTCCGTTCATTTTCCATAATTATTTTAAAGTATTTCACAATAGTTTATCAATTTTCACAAAATTATTTGCCAAACACAACAATTCCCCAATGTCGACTGAGCAAAATTAAACAAAATCAAACAAAACAACAGTTATGCGATGGTATTTGACAGTTTTAAAGCTACACCAAATGATTGGCTGCTCTATTTAAACGTCTACAGCATACAGTTTGAGAGTCAGTGGAAACAACGTTAATGAGAGAGCGAGAGAGAGTGGTACAATGCAAATAACAGCTGATTTTGGTAGAACTTTGTCAATTTATATACCCCTAAATTCCAGCGCCAATTTTCACTCGTATTATTATTATTTTTGTTTTGATTCCTACTCTTTATTGACCATATTTTTTTTTGCGAAATTCATTGTTTCTTGTTACTACGGCGGAAGGTTTTTCATGGAAGGCTTTGAGTTTTTGTGGAAAGAAAACATTGCAAACATTGCCCTCCTCGTAAAAATAAAAACAAAGCTTTTGTTTAATTTGTAATAAACAATAAATAAAGGAAAGAACAATATCCTTGTTATAAATACATCACCTGTGAACTAATAAATGACAACAACAGCAACAATTCCAACAAAGCACGGCAAGCCAAAAGACGCATCCGAAACAACAACAGAAAAATGAAAATCCTCTGCGAAACTCAAGTCCAAAATCGTCTTACCCAGGCCAATAAAACACCCCGAATGGTAAAGGCCACTCTGGCAGTGGGTTTCAATACCACGGCAAAGGATCACAATGGCGAAAGTAATAAAGATTTGGAAATCATCCTGTTTACACCGCAGGAAAAGAATGGTGTTCGCTACAAGGTGAAAAATAACATTGAGAAAATGTTCACGAAATTCCTGAAAGATGGAAAGGCTACCATCAGCTTCAAACAACCAGCTGAGAATCTTATGATTAAATGTGATCCTATCCAGCTGAAGGGATTCTTACAAACTCTAAAGCTGGGCTTAGAGGGTAAGGATTCTATTAATTTACGAATGAATATTGCCTCAGCAACGGCAATACCACAAAAGTCGCAACCACAGACGAAGATGAACATCACAAGTCGTGGAGATTATCCGACAAAAGGCTTCCCAAGGACTCTCAAGTCGTTGACCATAACGGGCATCAAGCTGTGTAAGGTCACCTATGATATGTGTTCGCTGAGGAATTTAACAACGCTGAATTTGAGCTACAACACCATTGAGAAGGTAAGTTTGGAGATTTGTTGGAACCATAGCACTTTTATGATTTCTAAATATTCGTCGCAGAACTTAAGTACGAAGAGTTTGGCAGTGCCAAAATTAATCTCGATTTGAATTGTTTTCATTTCTTCTTTTTTATAATTTCAGATACCCAATGAACTGGGACGTTTGGCCCTGGTCGAATTGAATTTAAGCAACAATAATTTGGGAGATAAAAATGCCTGGCAATGGATGAAGGGTAAAACCATACAGGCTTCGCTAAAAGATCTTGACTTATCGGCAAATAAATTGGAATATTTTCCACCACCCCTTATCAAATATGAAAAGCTAGTCACCTTAAAGTTGAACAATAACCAACTGATACGTCTGCCACAAGGTATACGACGCATGCGAAGTTTACGTTTTGTCCATTTATCCATTAACAAATTGGAATCATTACCGGCAGCATTTAATATCATCCCACTCGAAATGTTAGATGTTTGGGGTAATAACTTTCAAGAACTTAAAGAATATGATTTAGATGTAAAGTCATCATCATCGGGCCCCTCATCAGGTGTACAAAATTTATACAATTGTTCGCCGTTGTGGTTACAAGCTGCCCGTGTCGTCTGTCAACATAAACTGCCTTATTCTCCAGCTACATTACCTTGGATATTGGTCGATATTCTGTCGGAAGCCCCAAAATGTGCCTGTGGCAAATTGTGTTATGGTGATGCCGTACTGGAGCGAGCCGCTATGGCCACATTTGAAAATGTGAAAAATTTGGTATTCAGTCGAGATCGTCTGATATATGCTGATATTGTTCTGTGTGGTCCCCAGTGTGCAGGACGCAAACAAATTTTGGCAACATAGTGTTGGCCTTTGGCATTTGTAGGCCATGCTTTAGACTATTTAAGAATTTGATTGTAATAATCCCGATCTATCTCTGAACATCATTTCCATTATTGATTTATAGCTTAAGATTTGTCATCTTCATCGATCGCCATTAGAATTAGTACTTCGTATATACATATGTTTTTTGTTTCGTTGTCTTTGTTTTAGGATACCGGATTCTCCACAAAAATGTAACCATTTTTTAAATAAGAAAATAAATAAATCAAGCAAAAAGAAAAAGCACACACACATACCTTTAAAAGGAGTTGTCCAAAGGCGGGGATTTTTAAAGAATATTTTTTCAAGGCCTATCTAAGGCATGGATTTCTAAAAGAATATTTTTTCAAGGCCTATCTAAGGCGTGGATTTTTAAAGAATATTTTTTCAAGACCTATCTAAGGCGTGGATTTTTTATCGAATAGGTTTTCAGGGCCTATCTAAGGCGTTGATTTTTTAAAGAATATTTTTTAAGCATCCATACAAGGCGTGGATTTTTTAAAGAATATTTTTTTAAGCATCCATACAAGGCGTGGAATTTTTAAAGAATATTTTTTTAAGCATCCATACAAGGCGTGGAATTTTTAAAGAATATTTTTTAGGCATCCATACAAGGCGTGGATTTTTTAAAGAAAAATTTTTCAAGGGTCTAAACAAGGCGTGGATTTTTAAAGAATATTTTTTCAGGGTCTAAACAAGGCGTGGATTTTTTAAAGAATATTTTTTCAGGGTCTAAACAAGGCGTGGATTTTTTAAAGAATATTTTTTCAAGGGTCTAAACAAGGCGTGGATTTTTTAAAGAATATTTTTTCAAGGGTCTAAACAAGGCGTGGATTTTTTAAAGAATATTTTTTCAAGGGTCTAAAAAAGGCGTGGATTTTTTAAAGAATATTTTTTCAAGGGTCTAAACAAGGCGTGGATTTTTTAAAGAATATTTTTTCAAGGGTCTAAACAAGGCGTGGATTTTTTAAAGAATATTTTTTCAAGGGTCTAAACAAGGCGTGGATTTTTTAAAGAATATTTTTTCAAGGGTCTAAACAAGGCGTGGATTTTTTAAAGAATATTTTTTCAAGGGTCTAAACAAGGCGTGGATTTTTTAAAGAATATTTTTTCAAGGGTCTAAACAAGGCGTGGATTTTTTAAAGAATATTTTTTCAAGGGTCTAAACAAGGCGTGGATTTTTTAAAGAATATTTTTTCAAGGGTCTAAACAAGGCGTGGATTTTTTAAAGAATATTTTTTCAAGGGTCTAAACAAGGCGTGGATTTTTTAAAGAATATTTTTTCAAGGGTCTAAACAAGGCGTGGATTTTTTAAAGAATATTTTTTCAAGGGTCTAAACAAGGCGTGGATTTTTTAAAGAATATTTTTTCAAGGGTCTAAACAAGGCGTGGATTTTTTAAAGAATATTTTTTCAAGGGTCTAAACAAGGCGTGGATTTTTTAAAGAATAAAAAGTTTTATTTTTGCCATTACTAAGTCAACATTTTATTTTAATATTTCAGTTTTTCTTTTCTTCTTTGTCAATTTGTTTTAGCTAAATTTAAATAAACATTTTCTTTTTTCTTGTTTTTCATACTATAAATTCTCAGCATATTTTTTTGATGATATACGAGTAAATATATATACGCATATGTATATATACAAAACGTATCATGTCATGTACTAGATTTTTTCTTTAAGCGCAAAACCGAGGAACAAAATTAAAGTGCTTCTAAAACAAAGTGCTTCAATTCAAATTTAAATTGGAATAAATACAACCCAAAATAAAATAATTAACTTAAATCAAGGAACTTATTCTCAGTAGTTGTAGTAGTAGAAAAATAAAGTTAAACACAAATAAAAATAATTAGAGTATATATTCATACATACATATATAAATGCTATAAGTACTTTTGTTTCCGAAAAAAATTATGCAAATAAACATAAAAGATCATTGTGAAAAAAAGATACGAAAATAAAGAAAGAAATGTGGCAGTGGCAGTACACACACACATCCCATACATAAATTACAAAATATACCGAAATCATAAAAACTCAAAAAACACACAGCTCTATACGAAAAAAATAATAATTTAATAAATTTGCCGGAACGACTACAGGTGTTTTTTATGACAACGGCACAATGGCAATACAGGGAATCCAAGTAAGTCTTGCATAAATGCTATCCACGAGAGCTCATAACTTGCACAGGCAAAACAGCAATGGTATGAAGCAGCCAATGGCCACAATAACCGGCATCATAATCATTGAATCCTCGGAGGCATAAGGATCCGGGTGACGTGGTCCACTAGTTTTCGTATTGCGACGTTCCCTCGCCCCATTATCCAGATCATCGCCATCCGACTCATTATCATAATTATCAATATCATCCTCATCGCCATCATCATCGATAATATCTTCATCATCTTCTTCGGCATTCAGCAGATCCTGCTCTTCTTCAATTACTTTCTTCGAATTGGTTTTTAATTTTTTATTTACCGCATGTCCGCTAATGTCATGTTTCTTTTCTTCATACGTTTCATCAGTGTTCATTTCATTTTGCATAGGCGGCAGTCGGGGTATTCTCTCAACATCACCCTTGAATAGAGCAAAGGCATTTATCTTGGGATTATCATAGGCACCCTTAATAAATTCCAAGCGTATCACATTGTTGCGTATATCCGATACTTCATCCTTATAGTGTAATTTACCGCGTGACACCGTAAAGAATATATATTCATCGTGGGCACTGCCACGACCAACTTGAGCGAAAATATCCAAATTCGAGACGATTTCATGTTGACGATTGAGAACGACATCGAAAACCTGGAAATTTAAAGAAAAATTGATTAAAAAAGATTTTCATGATAACGAGAATATTTTTTCAAGGGCCAATACAAGACGTGGATTTTTTAAAGAATATTTTTCCAAGGACCAATACAAGGCGTAGATTTTTTAAAGAATATTTTTCCAAGGACCAATACAAGGCGTAGATTTTTTAAAGAATATTTTTCCAAGGACCAATACAAGGCGTAGATTTTTTAAAGAATATTTTTAAGGGTCTATAGGAGGCGTGGATTTTTTAAAGAATATTTTTAAGGGTCTATAGAATGCGTGGATTTTTTAAAGAATATTTTTTCAAGGTCCAAAGTTAGAGTGAATTCTTTCAAGGTCCAAAGGAAGAGCGAATTCTTTCAAGGTCCAAAGGTAGAGCGAATTTTTTCAAAGTCCAAAGGTAGAGCAAATTCTTTCAAGGTTTAAAGGTAGAGCAAATTCTTCCAAGGTACAAAAGTAGGGCAAGGTTTTTTAAGGGACCATCCCTAGATTGGATTTAAAATTATTATTGTTAATGAACCAGCTTTTTTATAGAATATTTCCTAGCATTGATTTTACTGGAATCTAAGACCACCTTCTGTTTACTTCGGTCATTAATAAACCGCTTTGTGTATGCATGTTAGAACATAATTGCTAATAGATTACCTTTTTAGATTATGTTGTGTTATTAATGGCTCAGCAACAACAACAATAGGAACAAAATGTTTGTTGTAAATCATAGGTGTGCTAGCCGCTTTTCGTTTGTGTTCATAGTGGAGGGAAATAAATTAAACAAACTATGCCCTTTTGACATTGACCTTTTTTGGGACAAAATCTATCCTACGATTTTTTTGTATATTTATAGGAATTAATCTCATATGAAATTGCAGCAGAATACTTCAATTAGTCAAATTCAGTAGTATTTCCTAATATCGGCCCACAAATTTTTTGCAATTGCAGACTATCAAATCGACTTTGAAAGATAACAATTGTGTTCCAATTTTGCAAATATTATAATTCACCTGGGACGATAACAAATATATATCATATATCAATCAAAAATTCTATAAAAAGAGAAAAAACATTTTAAAATACTCCACACATTAGTGATGGACATACTACTCACCTTCTTATTCGGCTCATTGAAATAGACTTCACAGAATTTCAAGAGCAAGGCATAATTGCCGTCACCCTCCAGTGGTAAATCATAACCGAATGTCGAGGTGTGATAACGTTCAGTGCGATAAAGTACCTCATCCTGTTCGGGGACACGTCCGATTATCAACAAATGATTGCCATAATCTGATGCGGTGCCCACATTCAAGGGGTCAGCCTCATACAGTATGCCATACTTATCGGTGTGATCATAGCCACCGGCATTAATGGCATAGATGACCTGTAAATCATTGTTGTTGGCAGCTGCCTGCGCACCACCACCACCTGAATACAAACTGCAGTGGCTTATCAGTAGAATAGCAAAAATGCTGACTAGTATCGATTGAAAATCATTTTTTCTCCTCCTGCTGCTCGATGATGTGGCAAGATGCATGATTAATTTTGTTTATTTTAAAAATATATTTTGTGATTTTCTATAAAACTGATATAAGCTGCCCTTATTTCCTTGTGCTGTGTGCCGTTTTTTGTTAAGTATCCGTCTGCCGCAGTCGTCTTCGCTGCCTTCGTGGTTGACAGGTTATGACAATTGGCTATTTTTAACCAATCGGCAAATGGAGGCTAATAGGACACGTATACTCTATACTGTGGAGTATAATTTTTTCCGTTAACTATCCGGAAAATTACTGTAATTTTTCTATTAAAATGTTGTTAAGTCGCTATGGCTCACTGCCGCCTCTATTTCAGCAAACGTTGCTAGCTGTTTTTTCACGCTTTTCAATTTACGCGACACATATTGCACTACAAAGTTTTTTCTCAATATTTTTGTTTACCTTTTTTGCCAGGGTTATATAGATCGACTTTGGACTAGTCAAATTTGTAATCGAAAACAATCGGTCTGTTCCCGTACGGCAAGAATCTACTACTTTTTTACTACGATAACGAATTTTCCTTTATGATATCGAAGAAAATAGTAAAATTGAGTAGATTGCAGTACGGGAACAGACCAAATGTGTGCAGTTGATAGGCGTTGTTGATAGTTGTTTGGGAAGCCAATTGATTTTTGCTCTATTCCAGAACCTGCAACAGTCTTCAATTAATCGAAATATTTGCAGAAAATGTCCGAGAACGCAGATCAGTCCATAGATCTTTCGGAGAAATTTTCTCTCAAACACTACAAGTGACGTCTAATCTGTGCAAGCATGCTTCAGATCCATATAACAGCACGGGTAGTATCAGCGCTTGTAGAGTATGAGTTTGGTCTGGCGAGAGGTGGCCTTGTTTCTGAATTGCTTACTTAGACCGTAGTAGCATCTGTTGGCCAACAGGATTCTCCTTCGAATTTCAAAACTGATGTCATTAGTTTTATTTATGGCGGTACCAAGTTATATAAAATCGTTGACTACCCCGAAGCAGTAGTTTTTAAGTTCCACAGTTGGTGTGAGTCTACTGGACGTCTTGCTCGTTGATACCATAAGCTTGGTATTCTCGCCATTGACTCTCAGTCCCACTTTGGCAGTGCCATTTATGTTTCATATTTGCATCTCGTATGACCTTTTCCAGCAGGATGTTAAAAAGGTCGCACTACAAAACGTCACCTTGTCGGAACGGATAGGGCTGTCGAATACGGTTTTATAGTTGACGAATAGGTGGAATGCGTCGATGTGTTTTTCGTGGGTTTTTTTCAGGATTTGGTGCAGAGTGAAAATCTGGTCAATAGTGGAATTGCCAGCCCTGAACATGTGTTGGTGCGATCCAATAATGTCATTGACCATTGATCATTCGGTTTCACAGTACGCTGAATAGCACTTTATATGTGGTAGGAAGGAGACTTATTCCTCTATGGTTGTCACATATTGTATTGTCTTCTTTTTTGGCACGACACACCGGGTGCTGAGGTTCCAATCGTTCCTCTAGCCAAATTGTACCACCGGTCTTGAATAGTTCGGCTGATAATCCATCGGCACCTGCTGCTTTATTGTTATTCAGCAGTTTAACTGTTGCTCTGACCTCATATTGGCTATGTGGTAAACAATCTATACCGTTATCTCTTCTTCGCCACTACTATTTGATACCAGAAGCTTTGCAAAATGTTCCTTCCAGATCCTCAACACGCTATCTGTATCAGTCACCATCTTCATTTTTTGCGTTAACGAACGAAAAAAGTTAAAATATTTTTAACTCTGACATCAACTTCAAGAGTTAGAGCTATCGTTTCCTTGTGGTTATTGTATTTACAACAAAATAACGTGACGGAAGGCCCAACGGATCTATTCTGCTTACCCCTTAAGTCCTTTTCGCAGGTTTGGTAATATTCTGACCTTCTGGTCCACTTCTGTAGTTTGGGCGCCAAAATCTATTATTTTTCTTTTCCCCTATTATATTCTTTTCTCTAATACCATTTTGTTCGTGTTTATCACAGCCTACGACTAATTCTATTATTCATTTTATTGTGTAAAAATTTGAAATTAAATTTATTAATTTCGCTTCAGAGATCACAAAAAAAAAAATTGTCTGTTTATTCAATTAATAACGCCGTTACACAATATGTGAGCGACGACGTCAACGTAAACATTGTTTTCAGCGGCATAGTTCTTCGCAGACGGCTATCAACACGTGCAGCACAGACGTTAGATGGAGCAAGACTTTGGCTAAATTTGCATTAAATTAAAAGAATTAATAAATAAAAATAACTTTTTTAACATTTTATAACTAAACTCCAGACTAGTTATCCTCTCAAATTGGAGGACATAACAGAAATTCACAATAAAAGTAGCCTTGGAACACAACAGGGCAGTGAAACTAAAAACAATAACAACCACATTTGATTCCCAGAGGAGAGGAAGGTGATAAAATTCCATCAATATGAATTTTGAAAACGAGGATCGTCTGCAGTTCGAGCAACTAACCGGAGGCAGTATAATTGAAAAGCCACCACTTTATGGCAATACTGGAGAGTAAGTTCTTTTGGCTAGCAGACAGTGTAATTTGCATAACAAAACTAATTTGTTTTTGTCCTCTTCCACAGGCATTTACTCTTCCTATCGGGCAAATACGTAAATGTCTATTCCACAGTTACGGGGCAATTGGTACGCAAGCTGGAAGGTGCCACAACCACACTAGCCGATTATTGTTATGAATTGGATAATGAAGAAATTCTGATTGCCTGCAGTCAATCGGGCGAAATATTAACATGGGAATGGAAAACTGGTGAACTGAAAAGTACAGTGCAAATGACATTGGACGCTGATGGCGTGTCAGTGGTTACAAATTTTCAAATTCTAAATTTATGGGGTAATTCGAAATTGTCTTACGCATTTATGTGCATGAGAGCGCCAAAGGCAAATGTCCATTGGCGTATGGTCGATCGGGTCGATGGTAAATTTATACCCGTGCCAATGAATGTCAATTTAGGGTGAGTTGCTATTGAATTCAAAATAATTATTTCGTGTAGAAATTAATTAATTTTTTTTTCAGTGCGAAAAAACCTCTAATGGCTGTGGATAGTAAGAATTTTCCAAATTTGGTCATAGCCCAGGGTTATTATGTTTATTTTATCAACTATAAGAATTGGTCGTATAAGAGGTAAGTGGTGACAAATATATTTTTATATAATTATAAGAGGAGATCTGATTTGAGCCTTTCCTATGAGAACACCATTTGGTCTTCTGTGGCAGACTATTTGCTCTTCTATGGGGGAAAAAATTGTTCTACCAGCAGGTCTTCTATAGGAAGGTCATTTTGGTTCTCTATAGGAAGGCCATTTCATCTTATATAGCAAGACCATTTGGTCTCCTATAGGAAGACTATAGAATCTTCTACATTTCAAGACCGTTTATTCTTCTGATGGCATAATTATGCCATGGTTCTTCTATGAGAATGCAATTAGGTCTCTTATAGGAAGATCATTAAGTATTCTTTAGGAATGCCTTTTGCTCTTCTATGGAAATACCATTTGGGTTTCCTTTCGAAAGACCACTTGGTCTTCTCTAAGAGGACCATTTGATTATCAATATTATAATTATAAGAAAACACCCTATAGTATAATTCAGGACCATACAAAAGACTTCTGTTCTTCTTATCTTCTTATCATAATACCTTTTTTGGTCTTCCTCTAGAAGCCCTTTTGATCTTCTATTAGAAGATCTTTTGGGCCTTCACTAAAAAACAATATTATGTCTTCCCTAAGAAGACCCTTTGGTTTTCTTAGTTTACCTTTTTTTCTTATGAATTCCTTTTGGCCTTCTCTATGGAACCCTTTTTAGTATTTGTTAAAAAGTCTAATGACTTCTCTAAGAACTCATTATGGCCTTCTCTAAAAACTCTTTCTGGTTCTCTTTAAGAAAACCTTTTTGTTATTCACTAAAAATGCAATTTTGGCCTTGTTCTTCTTTAAAAAATACCTTTTGGTCTTCTTTAAAAAGACCTTTTGGTCATCTATAAGATTGTCTCTTTGGTCTTCTTTAAGAATTTCTTTTGGGTCTTATCTAAATAAACTTCTTAGTCTTCTCCAAGAAGCCCATTTTGGTTTCTCTAAGAACACTTTTTTGGTCTTCTTTAAGAAGCCTATTTTGGTTTCTCTAAAAAGACTCTAAGAAGGCATTTCATATAGAAGACCATTCTTATTGAATTTTCCTTACTAACCCATATTTGTTTTAATTTTTTCATTATAGATTCAAAAATGCCCATAAAGTTCCTATTACCGTCCTTCAAAAACATCCCTCGGAAGAATGTTTTGCCACTGGTGATGAAACGGGTAAAGTTTTTCTATGGCGAGAATTTACCAGCCAGCATGATATTAAAACTGTAAGTATTTCCACAAACAGCTCTTCCTTTTTTTTGCAAAATTTAATTATATTCCACTTCCAAATTTTTCTTTACAGTCCCTTTACCATTGGCATCACACCCGTGTGACTAGCATACATTTTACAGTATCGGGAGCAAATTTTTACAGCAGTGGCGAGGAAGCTGTCCTTGTCAAATGGAATGTACAAAACCCAGAATATCGTCAATTTCTGCCACGAATGGCATCTAAAATTCAACATCTTGTTGTTAGTCCAGATAATGCACAAATTGCCGTCTGCACCGTGGATAATGGTGTACAATTTGTTGGCACTGAAAATAAGATTTTGAGTAATCTGCAAGAGTTCACATACATTGTGGATGATAAAACGGGAAATAGTAAATTTCCGGTGGGTTTGCGTTTAAATCCTCGTACAAATACTTTGGTATTGAATGGTCGGACGGGGTCATTGCAGTTCTACAATACCTACACAAAGAGTTTTCTTTATAATGTAAGTTAAGGAGAGACATTTTTAGAATATCGATGTAAATATATTAATTTTTCTTTTTTTAATTACAGTTAAATATTGTCAATCAAAATCTCTTGTCCACCGAAAGTGATCGTATACTCTATGATATACGTGTTACAAAGGCCGCATTCAACATTGATTGGTTGGCCACGGGTGAAGTATTCAATGACAATGAACATTTGCCCGAGTTGCGTTTGAAATTCTGGAAATATCAAGAGGAAACACAACGGTAGGAGTTTTGGACGTAATATTTAAATTTGACTTAATTTAATCTTCTTTATTTTTAATTTCAGTTACACTCTAAACACCAACATTGAATTACCCCATGAGGGTGGTTTTAAGGCCATTGAATTCTCCAATGACTATCAAGTGGATAATTTATTGTGTGCCACAGTGGGTGAGGATAATGTCATTAAAATGTGGTGCTTAGATGATTCGGATAGCATTTACAAAGAAGGCAAATCATGGTTTTGTATTGCCCAGACATCGTATAGAAATCTTCCAGTGGAATCAATCTCCTTTTCCCAAGATGGTTCCTTATTGGCTGCCGGATTTGGCAATACCTTGTGTATTTATAAATCAGAAGATTTAAAATTAAAAGCAGCACTAACCGGAGCCAATGGTATGGATGGTTGTGTTACCAAAGCCCAAATAAGATTACCCACAAAAAATGTCAATGGCTCGAAAGTCGATTTAAAAGAAAAACGTGATAAATTAATGAAATTATTTGGTAATTTATTGGAAATGAATGAAGAGACTTTGATCAAGGAATTACAAAAAACTGTCGAAGACAATCGCAAGTCATCGAAAAAGGAAGAAACCCCAAAACCAGTTGGAAAATTAGATGATAAACAAAAAATGGCCCTGTATTCGAGGATATTACAAATGCATGAATTGAATCTATTCCAAAAGGTTATGATCTATCAAAAGCTGGGTATTGGTTGTAAGGTTCACCCCCAAATGACCGCCAAGGTTATTGACTATTTACACAATAGCATAAATCAACGTAGAAAGCAAAAACGTTTACAGTCACTGCATGAAGATTTACATCGTTTGGCCAAAAGTGATCGTTTCAAGGCTAAATATCGTTTGGAACAACACACCAAGCGACAAAGGAATTATGATGTATCGATAACCAATAAATTGGTACCTCTTCTGAGTCTATTAAATCTGAATCAAAATGTTCAACCTCAGGGTAAAAAGGTTGTCGAAAAGGAACCGATTAAAACTAAGGTCCTACCCGAACCACCAAAACCCACAATTGCTGAAATTAGGCATGTGCAATTTGCTGCCGGAGAATATGGTCATTTGGTGGCCGTTTGTACTGAACGTCGTGTACTTATATGGAATTTATTGACGCTTCGTTTGCAGTCCGTATTGAAGTTGAGTGCCAAGCATGTTACATTTGATGCTCAGACAAATCTAATGGCCGTGGTAACCACCAATGATGAATGTAAGTCGGTTTTAAAATATTTTTATTTAGCAGTATTTTTAATATTCAAATTTTCCTCTTTTAGTACACATTTTCCAACCCAATGTTCCTTTGCCGATTTATCAGCGCCGCAATATGCCCCAGCTGTATGGCATGGCTTGGATCCCCAGACGTTATCCCAAACAGCGTTCCCTTAATTTAGATTGGCAGGCTCAATCTACGCTGTACTTCTTAACTGAAGATCAGGTAATTTGTTTAATATAAATTACATTATTTTATTTAGTACTAAAATCTCGTGTTTATTTTAGAAAATTATTTATTTGAATTCACCCACGGAGAAACATATGGATATTCCACCACCAATTGTTTTCAATAAAGCTGCCGCAACATCAGCTCATTTCTCTACTTTTGGCAGTTATGCTATTAAATCAATTACAGAGACTCAAGGATCTGGAAATAGGCAATCAGGTCCTTTGGTTTTGGGTAATTCCGATAAGACAGCTGTGAAAACGGTAAGTCAATTAAATACACTACTTTTTTCAATTATGTGGGAGGAAGTTAGCACGGTAAAAGCGAGATACTCTTGGCTTACTTACTTAGCTGGCTTGTGCCAGAACTTTCGTTCCATAAGCCGAGCTTAAAAAAGATTTCCAGGCGCGTCGGTCTTTTGCGCAGTTTTTCCAATTTGATAGACCATGTTCGGCAATCATATCTTCCACCTGATCATTCCATCTTATTCGTGACCTTCCACTTTGGCAGACTTATTTTCAATTTGTTCCAAGGCGGCTGTTACCGCTCTCAATGTTCGACCCATTATGTCGATGTCATCGGCGTAGGCGAGTTACTGGTGTTGTTTGGTGTACAGAGTGCCATTTCTAGTCACCTTTGCCTCTCGTATGACCATTTCCAGAATGATGTTAAAAAGGTCATACGACAAACTGTCACCTTGTCTGAATCCTCGTTCGATATTAAAGGGCTCCGAGAGGTCCTTTCCGACTTTAACGGCTGATCTTGTACCAGTTAAAGTTATCCTGCATAGCCGAATTAATTTTGCAGGAATGCCGAACGCAGACATTGTAGAGTGAAAACCTAGTCAATGATGGACTTGTCAGGTCTGAAGTCGCATTGGTATGGTCCAATAATGTCATTGACCATTGGCTTAAGTCGTTCACACAGTACGCTGGATATGCGAAGGAAGGAGACAAAATCCTCTATAGTTGGCACATATCGCCTTGTCTCTTTTTTGTGCACGGTACACAATATGCTGAGGATCCAATCATTGGGCATGCATTCCTCTAGTCAAATTGTACTAAGCAGCTGGTGCATGCTCCTTACCAGCATCTGACCACCAGTCTTGAATAGTTCGGCTTGTAGCCCATCGGCACCTGCTACTTTATTATTCTTCAGCCGATTGATTGCTATTCTGACCTCATCTTGGCTAGGCGGTATACACTCTATACCGTCATATATTATTGGTTCTAGGGTATCTTTACCGCTACTATTTGATATCAGAAGTTTTGGTTTGGTTTTCTTTTTCTTAGCAAGAGGGGTTTTCCGAGTGTGGGCAACAAACCCGACGCCTCAACCCATTTTTATAGCTCTTATGGGTGAACTCGCGGCACATATTAGCTCACTATTTCAATGGATGATGAAAATAGTTACCCCAGGTGACACCACTGGGAGGTCATGTTAAAGCCAATCAGAGCCGTTGCTTGGTATCTATCGTAGATTTTTTAAAATATTTTATTTTTTTCAAAGGCCAACGAAAACGTAGATTTTTTAAAAATATTTTTCAAACAAAAAAATCTTTTTTTTAAATACAAACCTTTTACTTCCACTTTTAATAAGAAAATTTACACATATTTATATTTTCTTTTAAATTTTCAAATATTTTTTATTATTATTTTCAAATAAATTATTTCAACTTATATTTTATATATATATATATGTATAACTTAATTCTATGAAGTACAAAGGCATTTTCATGTCTTTACAAATACAAATTCTTTGGGTTTTATATAAATGAATACCGTGGTTGTTGCTTCTTTTAATTTCTTCGAATAAAGGCATTTCGAAAGTAAGCGTTTTTTTTTTTTTTTTGGAACACTTTTCTTAATCCTTTAATACAAGGCTGGGTTGGTTTTCGAAAATTTTATCAACTATTTTTGTTATTGGTATCTGGTGTCTTTTTGCTATCAGACGCTTTAACAAAATTATAATTATAACTTTGGCTCAGCCTGTAAAAAAACAAAAAGAACAAAAATCGAAAAAATATAAATACAAAATAATGAAATTAAAAAAATAAATTATCAAACACAAAAGTGAAGTTGACTTTAATTTTGCTACCAATTAAGAATTATTTTTTTGTTAATAGTTTTTGGTTTTTTAATAATTTGTTAGACTATGTGAGGTGGCGAGGGATGATGGGGTATATCGTATTGAATTTCTCACTTTTTCACATCACCCAAACGTGGTGCTGTGGGTACTCTTAAATGACGACAACGTCGCATCATTAAGACGTCATGTTTAAAATAGCGCAGACAATGCCATTGTGGTACTTTCGGCATTAACATTTCGTGCTGTAAATAGAGGAGAGACGAGACATTGAAGGCATTGAAATTGCAAAATTTTATAAATTATTTATGCATATTTATTTAAGTAAATTGACAATATATTTTTGCGTCATCATCCAGACAATCTGCATAAGTGTGGAATTTAAAAATATATATTTTTTATCTTATTTTGTTTAAAGGATTGCATTTTCTATGATCCATAAGATCTTTAATTTTTTTTAGAATATTTGTAATTTTTATACCCTTCACCACACTGTGGTACAGGGTATTATGACTTTGTGCATATGTTTGTAACAGGCAAAAAGAAAAGAGGTAGACCCATGGTTCCTTTTGAGAATATGCATAGAATCACTTTCTAAGTCGATTTATGCATGTCCGTCCGTCTGTCCATGTTAAATTGTAAACAATGTACAGGTCACATTTATAATCCGAATTGGATGAAATTTTCTTGAAAATCGGTTCAGATGTAGATATAGCTTCCATATAAATTTTCGTCCGATTTAATGGTGCATCAAAGAGTCAAATTTAGGCCGATTGGCACAAAATTTTGCACAACGTACTGAAATTAGGATGGCCTAACGTGTGCCAAGTTTTAGGCAAATCGATTCAGATTTAGATATAGCTTTCATAAATATATTCGTCCGATTTTTAGCATATGGTGCACCAATGAGTCGGTTCACATAAAGACACAAAAATGCGAGGTCTGTTAGGATGCATCTCTTGAATATAGCCAAAGTGGTAAAGGGTATCATATAGTGGCTCCGTCCGACTTTACTACTTCTCTGCTGGTTTTTATCTGATTATTTTTAAAAAAATTAACATTCTATGATTCATTTGAGATTTGATTTTTTTTTAAGATAATCTAAATCTAATAGCACTTTTTGTATTTAAAAAAATATTTTTAGAAATCTAAGGAAGACGTGGATATATAAAAAATAGTTTTTAAATACCAAAACTGTCGTAGTTTTCAAAGAAAATATATTTTTTAAAGACCATCGAAATCGTGGATTCCAAAAAATATATTTTTAAAAAATATTTTTTATAGACCAGAGAAGGCGTGAATTTTTAAAAAATATTTTATATAGACCAGTGAAGGCGTGGATTTTTTGTTTGTCTAAAAAAAAATATTTAAAAAAATCCACACCTTTGCAGGTCTTAAACAAATATTTTGAAAAAAAATCCATGCCTGTGATGGTGTTTAAAAAATATATTTTTTAAAACACCTGTGACAAAAAAGGTTTTTTTTCTCAAAATTCTTTTCTGTGTCGGGGCTTTAAAACAATTTTTTAAATTTTTCGCCAGTGATGGTTTTTGAAAAATAAGTCCAAAGCAGGTGAAAATAGGATCTTTGGAGTATTGGAATCATGTCCTAACATCCCCAGACTCTCAGAACTGGATTTTTAAAGAACCTCTTTCTTCCTTAATGTTGTTTTCATTCATTTCATTGAGTTTCTCTAATCAACAATAATTCACAAACTAATTCCCATTGACACAACTAGCCATACTGTCGCCTCAAAACGATTTCTTGCAATTGCTGCTGGGGCTGTGACTTTTTCTTTACCTCGTTGATTTTTGGCACTGGTCCACATTGAATGGCAGCGGGCAGTAGGATACAAATGACACCCATTATCATCAGCAGACGGATTAAAATTTCTATCCACTTCATTATCAACATGATGATGGCTCCTTTAAAACTTCTCTTTTTTATTTAGAAAATATTTGTTTTTAAATTTTTATATTTAAAAATTTTATATTTTTAAAATTTAATTTTAATGTAGCTTTTCTTCATTTATTTTTTAGTCCGGCTTTTTTGTTTTGTTTACACGCGGAAGTGTATTTTTGTTTGGGGTTGTTCGCCCGTTCTGTTTTTTTTTGCTGTTGTTGTGATAGATGGGCCTGTCTACCGTAGTTTTTATTTGTTGTAGCAAAAAAAAAATAAATAAATAACACGCGCTCAAAATGCAATTTCTTTGCCTTTTCTCGATTTTAAGTTAGAGTTGTGTTGCGTTCGCTTCTGTTACGTTTTTCGTTTGATGGGAGAATTTTTCCTGGCAGATGATTTTATATTGCGGCCCCCGACAGAACAGAAACAGAAAATAAGAGCAAAGCGCCGTCACTAGCTCTGGAGATACAGCAGCGGGTATTATTATGCTGTACTCAAAAATATAAGCAACATGCTGGTAGTCTTGTTATCAACATTATACCATGTTATTGTTGATAACAGATGCCGAAAGGGCCCTAATTCTTTTAAAGGGGCCCTAAATAATATTTTCAGTAAACGCCAAAAAAGTGGTGGTTTGAAAAAAATATGTTTTAAAAATTTAACCCGAACCTCGAAACTTAACACACGACCTATGGTAGGGACAGATTCCGTGCAAATCGAAAGATATATAGGGATTTTGGAAACCCATTTACCTTAAATCGGACGAAAATAGATATGGGTGCTATATATAAATCTGACCCGATTTTTTCAAAATTTGGCACACGTCATTCTAGACTCAATAGAGTAAATCATGCAAAATTTCGCGCATATCGAAAGATATATAGGTACCTAGGTTCACCATTTACATAAAATTGGACAAAACTATATATGGGAGCTATATCTAAATCTGAACCGATTTTCTCGAAACTTAACACACATCATTCTAGACTCAATTGAGTACACCGTAGGGACTTTGGTGCCCCATTTACCTTAAATCGGACGAAAATATATATAGGAGCTATATCTAAATCTGAACTTGACACACATCATTCTAGACAAAATTCAGTATACTATGCAAAATTTCGTGCAAATCCAAAGATATATAGGGGCTTTGGTGCACTATTTACATAAAATCGGACAATACATATGGAATGGAAGCTATATCTAGCTTCCAATATATATGGAAGCTATATCTAAATCTGAACCGATTTTCACGAGTCTTAGCACACATCATTGTGGACCTAATTCAGAACTCTATGCCAAATTTCATGCAAATCGAAAGACATATAGGGACTTTATTGCATCATTCACATAAAATCAGACGAAACTATATATGGGAGCTATATCTAAATCTGAACCGATTTTCTCCAATTTCAATAGTGTTCGTCCTTGGGCCAAATAAGTGAACTGTGCCAAATTTCATCCAAATCGGATCATAAATGCGACCTGTACTTTGTTCACAAAAATACATATACGGACGGACATGGGTAAATCGACACAGATTCTATGCATATTCTGAAAAGGAACCATGGGTCTATCTCGATTCCTTTTGCCTGTTACAAACATATGCACTAAGACATAATACCCTGTACCACAGTGTGATTGAAGGGTATTAAAATCAACGCATTGGTTGGTTTTTTATAAACACTTATTTTAAAAAATAAAAATAAATTTAATTTTTCCGGGCTTATTGTAGTGGTAATCTGTTGCAAAAAAGGCCCTTCGTATAAAAAAAATTTCCACCTCTGTTCAAATAGGCCTCTGGTTTGCATGTTTTTGTGAGGCCGAGTGTGGGATTATTCTAGAGTCGTGTGCCGGCTTGTTTGTACGTATACATGTATGTTCGTATGGTTGGAAACCAATTCGCAGCATTCTAAACCAAATAATAGCAGTTCTATCCGCAAGATACAATGCAGCAAATGTATCTGGGCATGAGATGAATCATGGGACTCTCTCTCTCTCAATCTCTCTGTTATTCTCTCTATGCAAGATAAAAACAAAATTGTTTGGTTATGTTGCACCAAGGAGTTGCATACAATGTTGCAACATAGTTTGGGGTGAAGCTGGACACGTTTTAAAAATGTGTCACAATGTGGCTGTGACACGTGAATAGGGGTTTTTTTTATAGTTTTGACTTTAGTGTTTGGGGTTATGCCTTTTGCCACTCCGTCTTGAAGTGTGACATGTAATAGTGACTGTATGTGGGTTCCCCTCCCTCCCACATTCTTTTATTGTTCAAAATTTGTCGTATGCCTACTTAGACTTCTAGAGACTTCCTCTCAATGTTGTTGCTGCTGATGATGATTTACATGCTTTTAGCATGGCACAATTAATACAATGACATTCAACGGAAGCATTCTGCTCTAAAGCCTACTTCGTTGGTTTGGGGTTATAATTATACTTATTTTTCTGTTTTATTCTATGAATGTGTTATGTTTGTCCAATAAACTGTCTTGTAATATTGTTCAGCACGCGTTATTTGTTTTTAGTTCAACAATTTAATTCATTTAATGCTGGAGGTAATTGAATTGAAGGAGTTGGGGGCGCCACAACATTTTTTGTTATGTGGAACGTTGCCTGTTACATTTTTTTGTTTTTCGTCATCCACGAAATGTGGGGCATTTGGATAGCAATTATGTTGTTAATCTGTTATTTTTTAAATAACAGGGTATTACAGACAGACATTTTCAAAATAGCAATGTTATCTTTTCAATATGCACAAAATTCTGATGCAATATTGATATTCGTTGACTATTACTAAACAAGGAAGAATTTATTGCATACAAAATGTTGATCATTGAAATATTACTAAATACATTGGATGGAGATCTCAGAATGGATGGGATCCTCAAAAATCATATAAGTCAGCATAATACTCTTCTTTTCGAAGGTGAAGTTTTTAGAGAAAATTTCTCTCAATAATTAAAATCAAACAGGTTTATCGATTTTTTGTTGTAGTTGCAGGGATGCAGGAATGGTTGAAGGAAGGCAAATGAAATCCTACACAAGTTAGAATAGAATATTTTTTAAATGGTTCTTTTGAAGACAATTTTTTTGTGGATTTTAGAAAATACATTTTTAAGTTTTAATTAAAAAATATATTTTCCAAGTCTACATTTTTCTAGAATTTTTAGAGCATTAAAAAAATAATTTTCTACGGAATAAAAATCGTCGAATTAAAACGCATTTTTTTCAACAGGCGAAATAGATTATGTTTCCATCGGATAATTTCAAATGTTGATTTAAAAAACTTGGTCAAAGGAAAGTAGCATGTAAATATTAAAAAAATATATTGTTCAGTGGGTGATTTTTTTTCTTGTGAAGAGAGCCAAACACAAAACCCTGGGCTTTTTATGTTAAAGATGGATTGAAAAAAAAATCTGCAAAAATTGTTTAACGTGATTAAAAATGCATCATATACAACAAATATCAACTGAATATTTTCTCGACTGAATTTTTAAAAATTTTGGAAAGGGCAAATTTCGGTCTATCATTTCGCCAAGTTCGGCTTTCAGGGAGTTTTTCAAAACCAAGTTGTTGACTATATCTCCAAAACGGTTTGAGATATCATATCACCACTCAATGGAATATAAGCTTTAAAATTATGCCCATTTTATATTAACCGGATCCGTAGAGCCGGATATAACCGGGTACCCGAACCCAAACTTCCGGGTCCTCAAGAAAAAAATAGGGTAAAAATATTTATCTCTGGAAAAAAATTCAGAAAAATCTGATCGTTTTTACTAGAGTTGTTCCTAATTATTAAAATCAAATATTCTACAATTACACTGTGCGATTCTATGCATATTCTCTAAAGGAACTATGGGTCTATCTCGTTTCCTTTTGCCTGTTACAAACATAATATGGAAACGAAATAGACCCATAGTTCCTTTAGAGAATATGCATAGAATCAATACAAAAATGTCATCCATTATTTTTTGATTTTTCTCATTTTCGAAAGCTTATTTAATTTTCTTCCCCGTAATATAATAAAACTTATACGGCTTGATATCATAATTTCATCGTACAGCCCGAAGAAAAAAAATTATTTTTATGCGTATTTTTCACATTTCAACCACAGTAACTCAAACCAAATATATATGTTGTTTGAAAGGAAAAATTCTACTGTCCCAAAGAAAAGAATAATATAAATACGTTATAAAGTAAATAAGTTATTTGCGTTTCAAATTGAGAGAGAGACCCGTCATAAAACTAATTTTCAAAGTGACCCAGAAAAACCAAAGGTATTTTCATGTTTCACGGACTCCAACTAAACAGGCCACAGTTATGGACAAATCTTCACGAAATTATTCATGTAGGATGGGTTCTGGCCAATGAAGACCCTTATTGTTTTTTTTTTTTTGTAAAGATTTGTTTATATGTCGGTTTTTCTGGTCGCTCCAGAGGTCGCAATTATGGTACGAACATCGCGAAATAGGGCAAAGGAATAAACATCGGAAAATATTTCGCCATTTGTGTGAAAAAAAAAAACAGAAATTGGATTCTATGGCGTATATATTGACCCCTGAAGGACATACGTCCGAGAAGTTGATAGTATATCCAAGAGGAGTGGTTGACCTTTCAATTGATACCAATTATATTGCTGTATGTACTCGGATGTGGTAGTTACACTTGAATATATACAGGTGTATATACAGCGTCCAGATTTTATTTAGTAACCACTACCAAGGAAATTTAGCGATGATAGCATTGAAATTTTCTATGAAGTTCCAGTTATGGGTAAGGACCACGCCAATAATTTTCGATAATAATTTTGGGATGAAATGGACCGAAAACTTATTTTTTTGTGTTTTTCGAGTCGATCTATAGGCTATAATTATAAGTCGAACATCACAACACAACTCACGGTGAAGGTAATCTGGACAAGTAATTAGAAGGGCTGTACTTAATATTAGTAATATTCCGAAAATATGGCAGTGGGGTGCTGTTAACCTCTAATCGGGCAAGAGGGTGAAAATATCATAAAATATTGTCCAGGCTCGGAATAAACATCCGCAGAAAGTTAGAGTGGTAGTTGTGTAGGGTATCGTATGGTCGGCTCCGTCCAACTATACTGCTCCGATCACAGGTTTTTAATTTGGATTGCTTAGGGTTGCAAGTTTCCGATTCCTAAAAAGCTCAACATTTCATTTCAAAAAGCTGGACAAAAAAGACCTCTCCTTCTACTCCTAAATTTTGAAGGTTATATGGGGCCTTCATCGAAAATTAAGTCAATATGTTCGGTAACACGCTACAGCTAATTTGGTGAAAATGTCTTCACACTAAATTCAAATCAATTTTATTTCATAAACGAGAACCTAGCGCAAAGGGGCATGAGCGATCCCAAAAAACTTCATTACATGGACTACTCCAAAAGCTAAAAATTAACAGTATATCACTTAATCATACATGAACTACTCGGTAAAATAAAATAATAGAAATTTCGAAAGTACCTTTTGTGCCTACCCTAAAAATTGGACCTATATATCTTATTTTCAATACCAAATATCATAGGAATATAGCATTTAAATATGCACAATTTCAAAACTATATCTTAAAATTGAGCTAGCAACGGACTAAAAACATACGGACATGGCTAAATTGACCATAGCCTTTTAATTTAATCAAGAACATGGGACCTCCGGAGAATATTTCGATGGCGATGGTGTTGAGGTATTCTTCCTTTATAGTATTCTTCCTTGATAGTATGAGATAGTATAAGTAAAAATACATCGATAGAAGTCATCTATGCATTACAGAATATCCTCCAAATTTTATAATGAGAAAAACAATATGCTGGATTTAGTTGATATATGCCTAACATAGCCTCAGTAATTTCCATGAGAATTTATTTCACTATATATGTATATTAAACACACATTTGTCATATGTATGTATGTTGTTGATTGTATTTCAAGATCAGAGTAATCTTTAAACGCAATCACAATTAATAAGTTGAGTGAACCGTGCAAGATCAGCGCTACTCTTGGGGAAAAACGCACACAAGGAAATAAAATATAATAAAAGCAAATAAAAAACTTACTCAAAAAAAAAAAGGAACTTTCACTTGATGGTTATTATATGGCAAACAACAACTGTAACAATAAAATTCCCAAAAATTATTGAAAAGAATACCTGACCTACAGAGGTGATTTGGGGGTGTGCAATGTGTGTGTATGTATGTGTGTCTTTCTAATTGAATGATTTATTTTTAGAAAAGCAGTTTCAAAACGCCACAATAACGTGATAATATAAACACGAGCTCTATCACATGGTGGGTATCATTGGAAATGACCTCTCACAATGTGAAGAATGGCTGTTGATTTGCCGATACTTTGCCAAAAATTTGCCTGGAGGCTTATAGGAAATAAAAACCGACTCCGAAACAAACGTAATGTAACTGCCATCATGCAATAATTTCCGATTGTCGTCTGACGAACGTTAATTAATGCAAATTCTGAAAATACGAATAATACCCCAACAATGCGGACATTAGCAGTGATGATGATGAGGCACTGACTATTGATTCACACAACATTGAAATTATGGACTGAGAGAGATACCAAGAAAAATTGATTTTGATAGGCAGGGCAGGTTGGCATGCCTGCCAGACAGACAGATAGTAATCCAATTTCGAAAACAAAATTTCCACTTATCAACAGCAAGAAAATAAGAAATCAACAACAACAATAACAATTATTCACTGTGTGTTTACTAGCAAGACTTTAAAACGACAGCAACAAAAATTGCTGTATGGAAAATAACAATTATTATTAATTTTTGTTTCAAGAATTATTCAAAAATTTTGCTCGCTGTTGTTTTTGGTTTGGTTCGGTTCAATGAAAACCTGTTAAAACTACATTTGGCTTGTTCAAGCTCAAAAAACACAGTAATGTTTTGTGTATATTCAAATCAACCAACCAATCAACCATCCAGCCAGCCAATCTGACAGACGGCCGGCCACACATCACTCTCAAGACCACAAATTTCCCGTTGAATTTAATTCATTCTACAAGAACATATTGTTTTGTTTCATTTTTTGCTCTCCTTGTTGTTGTTTTTGTAGTTTTTAAAGATACTTCATGTATAGTCAGTCTACCCCCACCCCTCCAAAGAGACTAATTGTAAGCCAAGCTATTTGATTTAATTACTTTTAATGACACATTGTCTGTGTGTCGGACATTACTTCAGGCCATTCATTCGTTCTGTAAATGTGGGGGTATCTAACTCTCGATGCGTGACCCCTTATGTAAATTACAATTAATTTAAAAGAATCTTATTTGCCATGTATATGAAAAATATTCATTAATAAATCCACGCCTCAGTTGGCCCTTGAAAAATATTCATTAATAAATCCACGCCTCAGTTGGCCCTTGAAAAATATTCTTTAATAAATCCACGCCTCAGTTGGCCCTTGAAAAATATTCATTAATAAATCCACGCCTCAGTTGGCCCTTGAAAAATATTCATTAATAAATCCACGCCTCAGTTGGCCCTTGAAAAATATTCATTAATAAATCCACGCCTCAGTTGGCCCTTGAAAAATATTCATTAATAAAATATCCACGCCTTGTTTGGTCTTCGAAAAAATATTCATTAATAAATCCACGCCTTGTTTGGTCTTCGAAAAAATATTCATTAATAAATCCACGCCTTGTTTGGTCTTCGAAAAAATATTCATTAATAAATCCACGCCTTGTTTGGTCTTCGAAAAAATATTCATTAATAAATCCACGCCTTGTTTGGTCCTTGAAAATATATTCTTTCAAAAAACTTTTAGCTCTGATGGTCCTTGACTTCCTTATGTCTGTGACCTTGCATGTAATTGAACATTAAACATTTTATTTGTGTGTTTTCCAAAATTTCAAATTAATAAATCCATTTTATCTTTACCTCATTGATATGGCCCTGATGTGTGAAGAAAAATATTCAAACCTGCAGGCGGCAAGGTTAATAAATCCAACGATGGAACCTGGCGACATTGGCTTTGAAAAATATTGCTGTAATAAATCCACGCCGACGATGGTGGCCCTTGAAAAATATTCTTAAAAATAATTTATAAATCCACGCCTGAAGTTGGCCCTTAAAAAATATTCTTTAATAAATCCACTGCCAGCGATGATTTGAAGCCCGGTTTATGAAAAATAATGTGGAGTTTTAGAATTTTAACTTTCAAAATCCAAACAGCCTTAGTTAAGATATATTGAAATGAAAATAAGTACTTTTTGTTTTTATTTTTATCTTAATGCTAATGACTCTATATTGAAAAAATTGTATTTCACAAATGTTTTTATTACAAATTAAGCATATAGATTTTTTTTAAATTCGTTTTCTTATTACAAAACACACACAATCAAATCTAATGTACATACATTTTTTTGTATTTTTACCGTTTATATGCTTTTGAAGAATGTTTTATAATGCCTGGAATGTAAAAACAAAGTGAAATGAATATACAAAAAACAAGTAATTAAAAAATACAAAAACAATTTATTTCTTTCCTAAATAAATGCTAATTTTTAAAAGAAATCATAAAAACAATATTCACAAAAATATAACAATTAAAAAAGATATTAAAAACTAATGGCTTTTTAGTCGTTGGTTTCCTCAGATTGTGCCCTTGAAAAATCCTTCTTTCAATAAATGACTTAAGACACGCCTCAGTTGTCTGCAGAACCTGTAATGAAACAAATAAAAAATTTAATACAATAAGTAGTAGGAATTTGGAATATTAAAACAAAATTAAAAATCCACGCCTATTGATGGTCCTTAAAAGTATTCTTTAACAAATCCACGCCTATTGATGGTCCTTAAAAATATTCTTTAACAAATCCACGCCTATTGATGGTCCTTAAAAGTATTCTTTAACAAATCCACGCCTATTGTTTTTTAAATTCGTTTTCTTTACAAAACACACACCTTGAAAAATATTCTTTAACAAATCCACGCCTATTGATGGTCCTTAAAAGTATTCTTTAACAAATCCACGCCTATTGATGGTCCTTAAAAATATTCTTTAACAAATCCACGCCTATTGATGGTCCTTGAAAAATATTCTTTAACAAATCCACGCTTATTGGACCGGTGGCCATTGAAAAATATTCTTTAACAAATCCGCGCCTATTGATGGTCCTTAAAAATATTCTTTAACAAATCCACGCCTATTGATGGTCCTTAAAAATATTCTTTAACAAATCCACGCCTATTGATGGTCCTTAAAAATATTCTTTAACAAATCCACGCCTATTGATGGTCCTTGAAAAATATTCTTTAACAAATCCACGCCTATTGATGGTCCTTAAAAAAATATTCTTTAAAAAATCCACGCCTATTGATGGTCCTTAAAAAAATATTCTTTAAAAAATCCACGCCTATTGATGGTCCTTAAAAAAATATTCTTTAATAAATCCACGCTTTGTGGTCGACTCCTTAAAAAATTATATTCTTTAATAAATCCACGCCTATTGATGGTCCTTAAAAAAATATTCTTTTAAACATCTACGCCTATTGATGGTCCTTGAAAAAATATTCTTTTAAAAATCTACGTATTGGTTTGTCCTTAAAAAATATTCATTTAAAAATCCACGCCTTTTGTCCACGCGTATTCATGATGACTGGTATACATTACCGGTGTTTCTCCGGGTCCAAACCACGAAGACTTGGCCAATGCATTTCGTACTCTGGGTGTCTTATAGAAGGGATTTCTCAGTTCTGCGGGCAGTGTTTGTTCCCAGGCATCATTTTCGATGACGGCTATGTGTTGGTAACGATGCAGTTGTGGTCGTCCCATGACGAGGACAAGGGCGAACATGACAACCAGCAATAGTTGTGAACATAGTTGGGACCTAAAAAATAGGAAATTTTAGATATTAGTAAAGGAGTTAACAAAATTAAACATACTTAATTTTATTAATTTTTTATTTGTTTAATATTTTAAATTTTATTTTTTCCCCAATATTTCTTCAAATTTCATCAATGCAAAAAAAAAAAAAAATCCAATACGAAAATTTCCACTACTAGACTTAGAGACAAGGAAAGTCATAATACGAGATACCACAAATGGTGTAAATAAGGCCAATGACGTGATTACAAAATATGACCAAAATGTCGAATCAATTTCAAATCGAATGCAGTCCAACACCTTATTGCCATCGCCAGGCATCATTGCATTCAGCGCACATTCACAGTAAATGGGGAAATCAATGTGCGATTAAATAGTTCGATAGTTTGATTATTTTAGGTTGATAAGAAATCCAGATACATATTTCATGTAAATAAGTATGTATGTGTGTTATCTATTCAATCGAATAATAGATATTCGATGCAGATGCAGTTGGTAGAAGACAAAACCTGTATACTTTTAAATCAGGAAAATAAAGAAAAAAATTTTTTCTTAAAAAAATCCACGCCTTAATTGGGTCTAGAAAATTTTTTTCTTAAAAAAATCCATGCCTTAATTGGGTTTAGAAAAAAATTTTCTTAAAAAAATCCACTCCTTAATTGGGTCTAGAAAAAATTATTCTTTAAAAAATCCACACCTTAATAGGAGGTTGTCACAATTGCCGATGTGGATCCTTGAAAAATCTTCTTAGCTGGCTTGTGTCAGAACATTCGTTCCATAAGCCGAGCTTAGAAAAGATTTCAAGGCGCGTCGGTCTTTTGCGCAGTTTTTCCAATTTGAAAGACCATTTTCGGCAATGTTGTCTTCGAATTGATCTTTCCATCGTATTCCCCTTCTGTGTGATCCATTAACTGGTTCGCCTTTATATGCCTTCTGAGCTGGGACATCTTCATCCATTCTCACAACATGACCTAGCCAACGGGGTCGCTGCAGCTCAATAGTCTAACAATGTCGATGTTCGAGAATAGCTGGTACAACTCATGGTTATTCGACGGCGATCTTTCAGAATTTTTCTCTTAAACACTCCCATGCTTCAGATCCATATAACAGCACGGGTAGTATCAGCGACTTGTAGAGTGTGAGTTTGGTCTGGCGGGAGGTGGCCTTACTTTTGAGTTGTTTGCTCAGACCATAGTAGCATCGGTTGGCCATCACTATCTTTCTCCGAATTTCAAAACTGATGTCATTCGTTTTGTTTATGGCGGTACCAAGATATATAAAATCTTTGACTACCTCGAAGCTGTAGTTTTCAAGTTCCACAGTTGGTCCGAGTCTACTGGACGTCTTGCGCGTTGATACCATCAGCTTGGTATTCTCGCCGTTTACTGCCAGACCCACTTTGGCAGACTCCTTCTCAATTTGCTCAAAGGTGGATGTTACCGCTCTGAATGGTTGATCCATTATGTCGATGTCTTTCGGCGTAGGCGAGTAAATGTGTTGTTTGGTGTACAGAGTGCCATTTCAGTTCACTTTTGCCTCTCGTATGACCTTAAATGTCACATGACAAACCACCACCTTGTCTGAATCCTTTCCGACTTTAACTGCTGATCTTGTGCCTGTTAAAGTTATCCTGTATAGCCGAATTAATTTTGAAGGAATGACAAACGCAGACATGGCTTTAAACATCTCTGAACGGATAGGGCTGTTCAATGCGGCTTTATAGTCGAAGAATGGTCAATGGTGGATTTGCCACGTCAGAAGCCGCATTGGTATGGTCCAATAATGTCATTGACCATTGGCTTCAGTCGTTCACACAATACGCTGGATAGCACTTTATATGCGATGGAAAGGAGACTTATTCCTCTATAGTTGGCACATATCGTCTTGTCTCCTTTTTTGTGCACGGGACACAGGATGCTGAGGTTCCAATCACTGGGCATGCATTCTTCTAGCCAAATTTTACTAAACAGCTGGTGCATGGTCCTTACCAGCATCTGACCACCAGTCTTGAATAGTTCGGCTTGTAACCCATCGGCACCTGCTGCTTTGTTATTCTTCAGCCGATTGATTGATATTCTGACTTCATCTTGGCTAGGTGGTATACATTCTATACCGTCATCTATTATTGGTTCTGGGGTATCCTCTTCACCGCTACTATTTGATATTATAAGTATTTCAAAAAGCTCCTTCCAGAGCTCGGGACGCTCAGCACGCTGTCTATATAAGGCGTGGATTTTTAAAGAATATTTTTTCAAGGTCTATATCAGCCGTGGATTCTTTAAAGAATATTTTTTCAAGGTCTATATCAGCCGTGGATTCTTTAAAGAATATTTTTTCAAGGTCTATATAAGGCGTGGATTTTTTAAAGAATATTTTTTCAAGGTCTATATAAGGCGTGGATTAATTAAAGAATATTTTTTCAAGGTCTATATAAGGCGTGGATTAATTAAAGAATATTTTTTCAAGGCGTGGATTAATTAAAGAATATTTTTTCAAGGCGTGGATTAATTAAAGAATATTTTTTCAAGGCGTGGATTAATTAAAGAATATTTTTTCAAGGCGTGGATTAATTAAAGAATATTTTTTCAGGGTCTATATAAGGCGTGGATTTTTTAAAGAATATTTTTTCAGGGTCTATATAAGGCGTGGATTTTTTAAAGAATATTTTTTCAGGGTCTATATAAGGCGTGGATTTTTTAAAGAATATTTTTTCAGGGTCTATATAAGGCGTGGATTTTTTAAAGAATATTTTTTCAGGGTCTATATAAGGCGTGGATTTTTTAAAGAATATTTTTTCAGGGTCTATATAAGGCGTGGATTTTTTAAAGAATATTTTTTCAGGGTCTATATAAGGCGTGGATTTTTTAAAGTATATTTTTTCAGGGTCTATATAAGGCGTGGATTTTTTAAAGAATATTTTTTCAGGGTCTACATAAGGCGTGCATTTTTTAAAGAAAATTTTTTCAGGGTCTATATAAGGCGTGGATTTTTCAAGTTTCCAAAAGAAGGTTTGATTTTCAAAGAATATTTTTTCAGGGTCTACATAAGCCGTGCATTTTTTAAAGAATATTTTTTCAGGGTCTATATAAGGCGTGGATTTTTCAAGTTTTCAAGCCCTTTGGAATAGCAAAAAACCCATTACACCCTCCTTAAGTTGTTCCGACAACTTATTAAACTTCCTATTCAAATCATGTGGAAAATTTTGCAAATTTTTCCTATCCGAAAAAAATTTACATACATAAATGTGTTTCCGTAAATGTTTTGCTAAGCAAATAAATGTAATATTTCCATGCATATGCCCACTCCCCTTTTGACGAATTGTCCATCCATGTCCATGACGGCTACGATGATGATATAAATTAAGTCACCACCATTATCATCCAGTGGACACAAACAAGTGCGTGTAAAAATAAATAAATATTTTTTTTTATTTTCTTCTTTTTGTTAAATAATTAAAATTCATTGTATAATAAAACCGCATAATTGAAATTAAGATCGGATTCGAATGGTGGTTTTGTTTGTCGTGCGACAACTTTTCAAAGGTAGTTCAATTTCAGTTACCAAGTTGGTGAAAAGATGGTTAGGCGATCGAGCGAATGGACGGACCAGCCAACAGACGACGATTCGGCCTCAAAGGGAAAAATGGTTTGGTTTGGTCAACATGCGGAAATGCGTTTCTAGCGACCAACAAAACTAAATCGGCAATTTAACTAAACGAACAACTTATTGTGGAGAGCTGGAGGTAGTGATGGAGGTGATGGTGCTGCTGGTTGGTTGCTTGGATGGCTGGCCGTTGGAAATGGAAAACGAAAGTGCGTGTGTTTGGCTGATGGCCAAGAAAAAAAAAACAAAAATGAGCAAGCAAACACATGCCCAAATACCCATATCCAGAAAACAACTTCTCGTATTACAAAGCCAAAGTACGACGCAGACTAGTCGGGATGGCAAAACGAAAAATAAAATAAATGCCGGTTGCCGATTGAAAACCCCCATTTGAAAGTCACACACACACAACTCCCTAACGTGAATGATGAAGGAAAGCTGGCCAACGCCTGGTATTCCACAGCAAAACAAGAAATGTCACACTAACCATGGAACAGAAAACACTCTCACACACACTCCAACACAACTATTTTAGTTAGTTGTGACAGGAGTCTGGACAATGTGGAACCCACCGAACCAAGTGAATACTGAAGTTTTTTGGACAAAACTAGTACCACCAGGCAGCCAGCCAGCCATGACTTATGAATTGGAGCAAATACCAACAAAAATTGTCTTTTTGTACTGTTTTGTGTTTTTTTTTTGTTTCGTTTGGGGTGTCTCTGAGTCTCTGTTGGGTGATTACTGACCATTTGGTATGACAATCTATCTACTGGGCTGGTCGGTTGGTTGTTTGGTCGGTTGCATGCCGATGTCGCATTAAATTAAATTATTTACATAATTTTGTATTAGTTTATTATTTTTATTATTAAATGAGGTAAATGAGAGGAAAATTGTTGCATTTTGGAAAAATTGGAGTTTGGGTAAATGAATAGTAGAGGAGACCTTAGGGCGGATATAAAAGCAGGAGGTTAAACGTCATATTTATAAAGTTAAGGGAAATTTTCTAAACCATTCGATCTTGAATATCCGCGCAAGGAATACTACTATCAAGAAAAAATTGTTTATCGAGAATAAAATCCTACGATCACTTGATGTTAAAATAAAAACCAGTAAGGAAAGTAGTAAAGTCGGACCGGGCCGACTATATGATACCCTTCACCACTTGGGTATATTGTACATATGTATCCTTACAATTGCAGGTCAATGTTCCCCCGAAGGAACTTACTCATGTCTTTCTACAACCTATGCTAAATTTAATTTCATTCGGGCAGATTTAGAGTCCTCTGCGTACCATGGGACAAATTTATGGAAAATTATTTATAGCAAAATTGATATACGCTATTCGGTACACCGCACTGTTAAAAATTTAATCTCAATCAGATACGCTATGCCTAATTTCGT